CATATGTGGTTAAGAAGCCAAAGTTTCACAACCTGTGGAATCTGCTGAATGACGATTCATATTTTGGTAGGATAAAGAGGTTGAGGAAGAAGGAATGGGGGCCAGACTGTGATAGTCGTGAGCCAGGGTAAAGCTTGGAGCTACCCTTTTGTTTTCTTTACTTTTGTGTTTTTTTTTAGTATTGGATTTAAGAAAAGGATTGCTGAAACTGTGATTGAGATATTGAAAATTATGAATTCGAATTAATTAATTTGGAGAAAGAAAGTGTGATTGTGATAATAGAGATTATTGCATTGTGTTAGTAGTACTGGAAGATTGAGTAAAAGTAAAGGAATTGAGAATTGAAGTACTGTGAAAAGAGATTAAGCATCCTGTAGATGTCAGGAATGTCAGTGATATTGAGTAGCTGCAGGACAGTGAACGATTGTAGAGATTGTGAAGGGATTGAATTGAGATGAGGAAGAGAACTTTGGAAGTTTTAGATAATTAATACATAATCAATTGTGACATAACATATCCAATTCATACAACGAGTCTTTCCCCAAGATCGAACCCACCTATACTGATCAAATATCTTGGTGTTTTGAATCCGAGTCAAAGGACGATTACAGGCAGTTATTGCACTTCACAGCTTGGCTAATAGTTTCGTTGAGCATTCGTGGATCAGAAAGAGTTAACATCAAATCCTTCACATCGTCCCTTAAATCCCAATAGAATTGACTCATCAATGCTTCTTCGTCCCAATTGATGTCCCATACTAATTGCTTGACATTCGATGCATAGATTGATGTAGAGTGCATCCCTTGTCGTAGTAATCGGATCTTTGTTGTAGCCCATCGAACCTTGTCGTGTTCATCAAATACTTCCGCAAACGCCTCCAAAAAGGTTTTAAAGTTTTTTAGTATGAACGATCGTTTTTCAAACAAAGGAGCAAACCATGATAGAGCTTGCCCTGTAACTAAGGTTCCAACAAGCCCAACACAAGACTCCTTCATTGGATAGTGTTCGGGCTGTAAAACTGTTATCAACTTGATTTGATTGATGAATCCTCGAAACTTAGAATGCATACCATTGAACTTGTCAAGAAGGCTAATTTGGGGCTCCTTATGTTGTAGAACAAGTGGTGCTTGTCGAACCTGAGGCAAAATTGCTTCTCCAAGTGTAGAAGTTTGAGGCTGGTGCAACCTAGATTGTGCCATCCCAGATGCTCCATCATTATGAAGCCTTACTACAACTCCTTCAATCTCTACAGTTCTTTGCGATAATGTAGCGAGGGCATTTATGATAGCATCCAACTTGGACTCTGAACTTTCTATCATACTAATGTCTTGGCCTCCGGCCATTCTAAGAGAAGGACAGAAATGACTCTACAAGAAGATAATATTGGTTTAGAGGAAAGTACTCCACAACCTCTAAAACGCCTTAAAAGCTTCAAAAAAAGGATAATCCACTCTCTCCAAGAAGAATAAGACTCCAATATTGTAACAAAAGAAGTATCATTTTAGAGGAAGGTAATCCGCAACCTCTAAAATGCTAGTACACCTTCAAGCAGAGGGATAATCCACACTCTAACGAAGAAGAAACTAGCTCTAATATCTGAGGCGAGTGGAGTCTCGACAAACTATCATGGACACAGAAATATAGGCTCGAGATCTAACAAGAAGTTCAAGAAGAACTGGCAAGAACTAGATTAATCAGATGAATACAAGAACAATACTAGAGAGATGAGCTAGAGCTCCAAGAGATATGTTGTCAAGACTGAAGAATTCTTCAACCTTGATTCCAATATATACTCCTATTTAGGAAGTTTCTCAAGCAACTTCTACCAACTAGGAAGCTTCTAGAAGGTTCCAGAGACTTGCTTCTAGAAGGTTCTAGAAACTTGTCTCTAGAAGGTTCTAAGGACTATGTCCCTAACATCTTCTACCAACTAGGGAGCTTCTCAAGAAACTTCCATCAACTAAGAAGCTTCTAGAAGGTTTCAGAGGCTTGCTTCTAGAAGGTTCTAGAAACTTGTCTCTAGAAGGTTCTAAGGACTATGTCCCTAACAATATGTGTACACTATTGAAGATTCAATAAGATCACCATCAAGAATAAGTATCCTCTATTTTTGATTTTAGGACTTCTTAATCAATTAAATCAATAAAAGATATATATAAAAATAGATATATAAGAAACATATAAATTAGTGTATATCAAAGGAGAAAATGAATAAAAAACTATGTTTCAAATTAGGTATGGGTATTTTAAATATAATATCATGTCATTTAGACTCACAAATATATCAATTATTTTTTAATATATAATAAATGATATCTTTTATAAATTTCTAGATGATTTTATTGTTAATTATTTTGATTATATTTTAATCTATTCAAAGAATATTAAAAAATATGAACTTCATATTTATTGTGTATTACAAAAACTAACAGATGTAGGATTACGTATCAAGATGAAAAAGTATATATTTCACATTACTCAAGTTGATTTCTTAGGATACATCATTTCAAATGATAGCCTTATGATAGATTTTTAAAAAGTTCAGACTATCATAGATTCAAAGATTCCAAAAACAATCAAAGATGTACAATATTTTTTGAGATTTGTTAATTATTATCAAATCTTTATAAAGAATTTTCTCAAATTATGGCTCTTCTTATATACATGATATATAAAAACAAACTTAAGTGGAACAAAGAAGCTAAAAAATCTTTTGAAGCCTTAAAAATAACATTTATTTTTACACCAATCTTGTATCATGCCAACTTTTTCAAGACATTCTTCATAGAAAAAAATGCATCAAACTTTACTATGAAAGTTTTTTGGTCACAAATGAGAGTAGATGATAAACTCTACTTAGTAGCATTTTATTCTAAAAAAATTTCAATAGCCAAAATTAACTACAAGATCTACAATAAAAAGCTTCTTGCAATTGTAGATTCATTTTAAATATGGCATCATTATCTTATAAGCGCTTCTTGTTTAGTTATCTCAATTACTTTATGTCAATATATGTTTTGAAATTTTGCCAAGCTTATTAGAGCATATCTTCATCAAGATTACTTATTGATTTAAAAAAAAAATTAATTAAATATTTTTTTTATATATTTTTATTTTATACCAAAAGAAAGAGATGTAATTTTTCATCAACAAAGAATGATTTGCTTGAAGCTAAAGTATTTTTATTTGTAAGTAGTAAAAATAATCTATTATATTTTAAAGAATAATTTTATGTTTCAAAAGGTGAAGCACAATTATGTATTCTTCAAGCTTATCACAATTTTTAAGTAGCTAAATATTTTGGATATAATAAAGTCTTTGGAATTAATATCTAAAGATTTTTCATTACTTCAAATATAAAAGGTACTTAAAGACTCTATACAATCACATGACATTTGTTCAATGTAAAAAACTCCTCATCAATGATCTTACGGACTTCTTTAACTATTATCTATTTCAAAACAATCATGGTCTTTTATTTCTATAGATTCTACTATAAATCTTCTAATCTTAAGTTTATATGATTCTATATTTGTGATAGTAGATTATTTTATCAAGGTGGTATATTTCGTACCATATATAAAACATATCACAAGTAAAGAAATAGATAAGCTTTTCTTTGATAACATCTATTGCTATTATAGATTATAAAAAGATATTATATTAGAGAAAGGAATTCAATTTGTATCAAGGTTTTAGAAAATATTTTTTAACATATTGAGGGTGGATATAAAACTATCTTTGATCTTTCATCCTAAAATAGATAGACAAATAGAACAAGTAAATCAAGTTTTAAAATAATATTTGAGATATACCATCAAGTATCATTGAGATGATTGAACAACTCTTTTATAATTGGCAAAGTTTGTGTATAATAATTTGTTACATTTTCCTACTCAATAAATATCTTTCTTTGTAATAATGGTTATCATCCACAACTAGATACTTTTGACTTCTTAAAATTTAATAATCTTGTAATAAAAGATTTGAAAAATTATTTATCTAAGCTCCATACAACAATAAAGGCAGAATTAAAAAAAACCTTAAGAACGACAAAAGACTAATGCGGATGCCTATTATAAGGAACAACCTCAATTCCATGTTGGAAATAAGATATAATTACTTTGTCACAATATCAAGACTAGTTGTCCTTGTGACAAGTTGGATTACTATAGAATGAAGCCATTTTCTATTTATAAATAAATCAATTATATTACCTATTGATTACATCTATTAGAGTCTATAAAGATTCATCTTATATTCCACATATCTCTTCATAACCTTCCATAACAAAAAATAAGATATTTCAATTTACTGATATGGATATGGTATATTATAAAAAAAATAAGTCTTAAGAAAGATAGCATTTTATCTTCTATCCTTGTTTGTAGTTTCTATGTATTTGTTGTATTAAAGAAATGGAGAATCAACAACCAATAGATTCAACATAAGAATTATTATTTGCTGACTTATCAAATAAGACATTGTAATTTTCACAGCCTTCAAGAGGACATTATTAAGATAAACATGTCTTTCATGCTTCTAAAATCTTTTACCAACTTATCTATCTCAAAGATATCCTATAGCATATATTTTACATTCTAATCTAATCTTTGAATATTTCCAAGTTGATCATTATCTTCTTGACCTTAATTATTGATCCTTGGCCTATTTCTTATTTATAGAATGCATTTTTACATACAAAGAGTACATCTTTTTATCATTAGCAACTTATATAAGGTGAAAATCTCTACAAAGTAACTTGTTCTATTTTCATTTTTAATTATTTATTTTAATGGTATATATATAATAATCTAGATATATTTGTATTTATATATATGTATGTATATACATATAAATATATATATATATATAAAGAAGCTATTAATATGAATCCGCAGCTCTTTTACAAATGGAACCTTGATCGGACTCTAAGACTAGTAGGTGCACACAACACAAATAGCAAGTGGGAAGGTTTCAACAACTCTTTGTATTGCATTGAATTTTATTGACATATCCGATTCGATGAACTGGAAAACACACACACTTACTGCAGATCAACACACAGTCCCCACCTCTCTCTCCCTCTCTCTCTCTCTGCATAATCTTCCTGTCTCAATCGTCGTGTATTCTCTAATTACGCACTATTTCATGGTGGAAAAACCTGCTCTGACCGAATGCTACGTGAATTTGACGGCGTGGCGCTGACGCTGGGTGCCACTGGCTCTCGGGCACCAAGCTTTGGGTCTTCATGGGCAGAAGACGACCTCGTAGTTGCTGCCATTATTGCAGCCATACACCACACCTGGGTTGAATTTTGTGTCGTCCTTGTGATACGAGTAGGAAGAGGGACATGCTCTCTTGAATGCCAGAGTTGAGGTAGTGGGACTCGGCGTCGTGGGCCCTACCACGTTGTAGCATCCATTTCCTGGTGGGCCGGTCAATTTATTTGGTGGCTTGCAGAAGGAAGTCAGATTGGGGATGGTGCATTTGGGACTGCCGCAGTGTAGTCCTTGTCGAACTCCCCCGTTCGTGAAAGTTGGGTGGATCATCAAAGGGAGATTATACGCATTCTGCATGTCTCGATTCCAAACTACGATGTGAGTGATATATTTCGAGGCTACCAACGCTACTGAGTCACCAAAGTCACCAGTACAGAATAAGCATGTCCATCAGTTGATCAGTGTGAGCCATATTGAATTTGGTTATTCTGTTGCCAGCAGATTGTAAAATGCGGCTTAACTTATTGCTTAGATCGTAAGAGTCCACTTTGCTTAACCCGAGAGTGAGCTCAGCCAGGTTTGCCTGTGGCTTGGCTAGTATTCCTTGTTGAACATTGGCGTTGCTGCTGCGGAACCCCCAAATGACACCCGACTTCCAGACCGTACCAACATTCAGCTTGCGTGACCCAGTCTTCGGCCTCAACGCAAAGCAGGTTGCAGGCTTTTCGTAGGACTCTTGGCAAGCCGAGATCCAAATCGAACATTGGTTTCGGACGGTGATGGTCGCGGCTGCGAATTCCAAACATGACCATTAGCAAATGTCAACATGATCGTCACTAGTAATCACGGTAATCCAAGGTCGCTCGCATAAAGCTACTGCAATGAAACGAGCATACATGGAGATAAGCACTACCGAGAGAAGAGGTAGTCATCGCCAGCAGCAAGATCACCACGGCAGTCCGTTTCACAGCTGCAGCTGGCAACTCCCCCATCTTGTCCTAGAAAAAAAACTGAAGCTTCGCAATGAAGACCACATAAAATGATACAAAATGTTGCAGTACTCCACTTCAGCAATGCTGCTCCAGACCGATCCGAATGGAATTGATGACAAACTTTTGATGCAAAGTCTGCACTTATACTTAACACAGGATGTCGTCCCAGCAGATTCCTCTTGCTTTTGACAGTCCAGATGACATCATCCATGGTCGTCCTAGTTCATTTTTGTGAACTCCTTATTCCCGAACTCCTTAGACTTGTGTAGGGCTACTTGGTCAGCTGCACTGTACTCGTTACTATTCTATCTTGTGTCTTGGGATAAGTTTGATAAGTTAATGCGTTGACCTCTGCTGTGGGTTCACATTTTATATTTATCACCTCTCATTCAACCATGTTTTGTGGTCAAACTAATAAATGTTTTTATGAGCTCCCCATCCAATTACATGCAACCATGCGAATAAGACGATTGTGACTGGAATAGACTGCGATGAGCATGACAGTTTGATCCGTCATTTGAAGGTACTCTGTGTGTGTGCGTGTGTGCGTTGAATTTCGTTTTAATGGTTTGCACGACTGTTTCGTTAAAGCATTGTTTATATCTTGGTGTCATCTCTTCATTCACTACCAGTGGTTCAGAGGTTCCTGACTCTGATTTTGACTTGCAATCGAGCTTAAACCCTCTAAGGATGGCACGTTTGTGTTTAGAGGTTGGTTGCCCTGATGTCAGCTGAATTTTTTTTAATTGTGTTTGGTGAATGATAGAATAAAGATAAAGACTCTTTCATGTTCAAAAAAATAAAATATCAAAAAATTCAACTTCGTGATTTGATATTGATAGATAAATTTACAAATAGAATTCTTGGATTTATTTTATTTTAACATTTCGTAGTTTATTCAACAACCCAAGTGGGTATTTTGTTTATCTACTATTAGTTAAAAATTTACATTTGAATATAAAATATGATGTATGTCTAATTTATGGGCTAGTGATTGATTACAAGTTGAATTTTTTTTGTTCATTTTATCATTTAAATATTTAATAAGGATAATTTGCAAAAGATCACGAAAAATTTTAGATGCAATTGTTTTATAATTTTTTAATAAAATTAAAACCGTTTTGATTTAAATACATCCATTTTTATATTGGCTTTTAATTTGGTCATTTTGTCCACATTACATACACTATAGCCTTATAGCAACAAAGAATTCAGAGTTCTTAATGTGAGTAAAGATAGATTAATAATAGTAAGAAAATTAGGATTTTGATTGTATTTTAGGTAAGATAATTTGTAAATTTTTAAAAGATCTATTTAAAATATTTGAAAAGATATTTTTAAAATATTCTAAATTTTAAATTATATTCTTATATATAGAAATTATTTGATTCCTATTAAATATGGTTCATATATATTTTATATAAATAATTATACATACATAAATATATACATATATATATATATAAAAAATAAAAGAAATATCAATGATATTTTATAATAGTTTATATATCTAGATAATTCATATTTGGATATTTGAGATAGATATCAACAACATAAAGTTTGACTTAAAAAATAGGCTTTTGATAATATCTTTTTAGAGAATACATGAATTTAAGTTATTTCTTGTAGTTCAAGCAAATACTAACACAATTCCTTGTGATAGGTATCAAAATTGATAATGTAGAACTTGTACAAATTATAATACAATTCCTTGTGATAGGTATCAAAATTGATAATGTAGAACTTATACAAATTATAATAAAAGCCCTTTTTGATAGCTTTGGTTATTTCTTATAGAATTATACTAGTGTAGGAAGTTTTTCAACTTTGAAATAATTATTGATTTAGTTGCTACTAGAAGAGAGTTATAAATAAACCAAATCTAGAGAAAAAAATAATCATCAATAAGGTTGTCTATTTTGGCCAAAATTAAAGATGAAAAAAATTATTATTTATGTATATAAATTTTTTAATATAACTCTTATATTCAAAATTGACATCTAAGAAGGTCAAGCAATTTTTAATAGAACCATTAATTGTAGATCAAATTTTATTGTTGAAACAAGATTGGATACCATTTACATGTGTATTTGGAGTAGTTGGCTGATATACAAAAATTTGAAGTTGGACAAAGAACAAAATTTGGCATCAAAACTAAATTAAAAAAATTAGTAGAAGAATGAAGGATATATCAAGGACATGAATCTCAAAAAATTGAAAGATCAAGATACCGTTGTGTAACTCAAAAATACTAAATAATCATTCATATATAGTATAATATTAACTAGAATGACTATTGCCAAAGATAAGAGACTAGAAAGTCTTAAAATAAGACTAAAGACTAAAAAGATGGTAACAAGAATGAAGAAGGCTTCACTCTTGCCTCTATATATACTATCTAATTAAGAACTATGTAATAATATTCTATAGGACCTCCAACCTATGTCCAAATTGTGAGACACATGTCTTATCTTATAAGACAAGTTTTTTATATGTATATCATATAATTAGCTTATTCTAGAAATTACTAATATGTGTAATAATTAATTAAATTATGAAAAAAAAATTAACTTATGTATCAATTAAAAATCCATGAAAAATCAAAGTTTCATAGATAGAGATATTTATTTTAATAATTTTTTATATTCTTAAGTAGAAGTACATAAAAATAGATTAATTTCATAAGATATTTTAAAGAAGCTTCATAGAAGCTCTATAGTTATTGCTTTGATTTTATACCTATGTGTAATTAATTAGTAGGTTAGAAACTTGGTCAACAAATTTTTCATGTGTCACATGTATTGATAACTTGTGAAACAAGGTAATTATGTGGCACACATCTAAAATACTTTCTTTGTAAGTTAAGAAATTTGTTTAGCAAAGTCAACCAATGTTGGTGGTCCTATAGAACATTTTCATATAACTCTTATTTAGATATTATATTTACATGCAATAGTGAAGTCTATTTCACTCCTCTCAAGTCTTTTCTTGCTTCTAGTCTAGTTTCAAGAGTCTCTAAATTCCTAATCTTTGATAATAACCATTTAAATTTTTTTCAAATATATATTTTTTTATTAGGATTTTATTATCTTTTTTTGATACTTATTTGATTTGTTTATATATCTTCTTTTGGATTTATGTCCTTAACAAATTGACAAGAGTGATAATTTTTTGTTTTTATTTTATTTTTAGAAATAAATAGATAATTTAAATTTTATTATTATATTACAAAGAATATGAATTATCCACCTTGAATTAATATTTATTTTTTTAATAATATTTTTTTCTTTAAAAAGAGTAAATTACTCCTTTTGTGGAAATTTTCATTCAATATTAGAGATTAAAAATTATCCTTCTCTAATTTGACTTGTGGATTTATTAAGTTATTTGAAATAGAAAGAAAAATCATAGATACTACTCTTGGTAGAATTAAAAATAGATTTACAATAATTGTAGATTTTTATAAGCTTGTTAATACTTTAAGGATAGAAATTTCACACATCACAGATATCATCTATAGAAGCACTATTTTTACACTTATGGAAGAAGTCCAAAGTCTATGCTAAGATATCGTGTAGTTGAGAGAAGAAAATAGATTGACCTCACAACCAAATTTAAAAAGTCTTACTTCTATAAGCATAAAGAGACAAAGATTAATATGCTTGAGAAGTTTGATGGAAGAAGCTCAAAATTTTGAGGATTTTTACAATAGTTAAGGTCTATTTGAAGTTGCATCTTTTCTAATAACTTAATGGATTAATTTAAGTTGGATTCATAGAAATTCTTAATTTTTACCTTTGATGGAAAAAGATTCATGACTCTTTTATGATTTAAATTTATTCCTTAAGGTATTTACCACCACATGTAGAGAAAGTAATTAAGAAAGAGTATTAAAGACCAAGCTCTTATTATTACACCAAAGTTTGCAATTAACTACTATATATATTATTAAATTCCAAAACCTTACTTATAACATAGATCAAAATAACAAAGTCTTTATCAATCAATTTTGATATGGGTTGAAAGTTAATATCAAAGATTTATTATTGACAATATCAAAAGAATTTTTTTTATAATAATTTATTACTCAAGCCATTGCATGTAACAATTAACTATTTAAAAGGAGTCAAGAATACAAATTTAATTAAAAAAGAATAAGTCAAGTAATGATGGTAGCTCCTATGTTTTTAGAAAATTATTCATAAAGGCAGGAACTAATGCAAATTGATACAATATATTTTAAATCTCTCATTAAGTAAAAAAAAAGTTTGAATGTACTAGAAATATATAAGTCTAATATATCAAAATTCTTACTAATAAAAGCAAGATCTTTCAGACATACAAAAAAAAAAGAATCATCTTTTGTTATATATACCACACCTATTTTTAATAGTGAAAAGATGCTAAGTAATATTTTTAGCCAGTATGAAGATTTTTAGGATGTTTTTGAAAAAAATAAATGCAAATAATCTTTCAAAGCATCAATCTTATAATTTTTTAATTGATTTATAAAAAAAAGCTCAACTACCATTTGAACCAATTTATAACTTATCAAAAAATGAATTCATTGCATTACAAGGATATATTAAGAAGAACTTGGCTAAAAATTACATATGCTATTTAAAAATTCCAATAAGAGCTCTTATCTTATTTTTAAAGAAAAAAAATAATTCTTTGTGGATGTGTAATTTTATTTTATTTATTCTAAATTAATCTAATCAGAATAAACTTATCTAGGGAGATTTGAATACAGAGAAAGACTATTTGTATGAGTTTTCACATTAAGATCATACAATTAACTGTCTCTTGATCAACTAAAATAATCAAGAAAGCTACAATGCCTTTCATATTCTATTAAATAAAATATTACAATCTATAATTCTATATTATCCATTCACTATCTCTTCTCTTTTCTTAACTCATGACAACAATAGATAATATTGCACTATCTAAAAAGATTATATAAAACATTCCCTATCCAATTATTGGAATTCTCCAAAACTAACTATGAATCCTAGTAATTTGCTTTACACAATTCCAAACTCCATAGACTTCTTCTTGGCACACTCTCAACTCTCAAAAATTAATACATTAT